CCTCCTCCTCCTCCTCCTCCTCCTCCCCCTCCTCCTCCATCCATCCCTCCATAGCTCCTCTGGCCGAGAGACATGCCGCGGTCGCTCTTCCGCCTGCATCGCGTCTGCGTGGGAGAAGGCGGCCTCGGGCATCCCGCAACCCTGGGCCAGCACGATTGGCACCTGTTCCGAGGTCAGATTTTTTATTTTATATATATATATATATAGATAGATAGATAGATATGGATTGCTTTCGGTGGGGTCCTCCCTTGGGACCCCTGGAGACACTGGAATGGGCCCTGGAAGAGCCATGTGTAATCATATCCGCTGCCTCCAGTTCTGAGGGTGATTTATTGGCTCCCAAGGTATCGGAGATGGATGGTGGTGGATGATGTCTGGCCTCGGACCTGCGCCATCGCTGGGGCCGAGACGTACCGCAGCATGTCGTGCAGCACGTAGTACCCTCGCCCCAAAGGGGCCCCGTCGTCGTCGTCCTCCTCCTCCTCCTCCTCTTCATCCTCGAAGATCGGATATCGAAGTCCGTGGACATGTTAAATTCTTCTGTGCCTCAAGAAGCCACTAAGCAACAAGAACAACGGCCACCGTCGAAAGAATCCGAGACGTCTCCTTTTCAGTGCAGTCGGTGGGGAAATCGAACATGCGCGGGAACGGGCATCAGCACGACCGTGCAGCGCAGCGCAGATCCAGGCATTCAGCGACGCGGCAGCCGCAGACGTAAGCGCGCCGCATGGCGCTGATACGGCTTGAACTATGCCAGAAAAGCATCCTTCAGGAACAGGAGACCCTCCGCTGGCCAAACAACGTTCGAAGGTATCCTCCCCCCAGGATGCACAAGAACATGCAACAAACACGAAAATCATTAGGGTACTCCAGATTTCGTAATAAAGGGAGGGGGGTCTCATTTCGGGGGGGGTCTTTTCCAAGCTATCTTGGAGGGCCTGGGGGGGTCTGGGGACGATGTTTTGGAGGGTTCTCCCACGGGGGAGGTCTGAAATGGCTTGTCTTGGATGGTCCAGACCCCCTCCCTTTTATTACGAAATCTGGAGTACCCTCCCCGAGCCGATCTCGATCTTATACCTCGGTCCGACCGTGCGAATAAACGCAACTGGCTTGACAGTGGCGGGGCTCGCCGCCGCAGGCGCCTCTCTAATGGGCATACCCCCTCCAAACCTCCGCCCAATGATTCCAATGAGGGGCAACGATGGGGGGGGGACTCGCACAGGAGGGGAAACATCGACCTGGAATGGGCGATACATCGCCGACAGATCGGAGACAGGCCCGCAATCGTGAATCCGCACCTTCCTAGGCAACTTGGGGGTCGATGCGTCCCCCCCTGTGCCGATCCCCCCCTATCGTTTCCCTTGATCCAAATGCCCAATACCCCCCCGGCGCACTTGATGACCAGTCAGGGCGTCGTAAAGCTGTGTACTGCGCCCATCCAATGCTCACGCTGCTTGTGCGTCCACGACGTCGTCCTCGTCGTAAGATTGGTTCCCCTGCTAGCCATGGCGCCTGCCGACTGCCCATTGTCCGCGAGGCAAATTACTTACGCACTCACAATGGAGAATCGGTGAGTATTCCAGAGATGCGTTCTCGCTGTGCAGTAGGTGGATGACTTGCTGCTGCTGGTCATCAGGTACAGTGTGGCTCAATCCCACTTCGTGCGAGCTTTGCTCATTGTTCCCGCGCTCTATGCCTCTGAATGTCTCCTCAAAATAGCGATGGGGTGTTCATTGGTCTCGCCAGACTCCGGCTCGGGACGGGGCCATTCGCATCAGTGAGCTAACTGCCCACGTGCGCTCTTTGATTCGGGGGGCGCCTGATGCGGTTTTTCCGTACTCCTTACTTCGGGCCTGCCCAGAGCAGGCTCAGCACATTGCTCGGGCATCTGGCTCGCACTACTGTTTGCGATGTCTGCTTCAATCTCTTTCATCGCATCCGAAATGCGCTCGGTCGGAGTGCCCGCTGGACTGATTCAGCAAGCGTTATGTGATGCAGGCCGCAGGTTGCCGTCCTTCCACTTGCAGCGGTGCAAGCGGATGATGGGTCATGTTGCCTCTGCATCGTTGCGGCTCAGGGGAGGGTGAAGAGCCCAGTGGTGGAAGAAACATCGTGATGCTGTGGTGTTGTCTCCCTCACTTCACCTCCTCTCACGCCCTGGGTCGCCGCCGCCGCCGCCGTCGCCGCCGCCGCCACCGTCGTCGTCGTCGCCGCCGCCGCCGCCGCCGCCGCCGCCGCCGCCACCGCCACCGCCACCGCCGTCGTCGTCGTCGTCGTCGTCGTCGTCGTCGTCGTCGTCGTCGTCGTCGTCGTCGTCGTCTCCTCTCCCTCGGTCCACTCCCAGCCCTTCGCCTCCCTTCCTCTTCCACTTCCCCCTTCCTTCGTCTCGCCTTCCCCTTCCGCCACTCGGCCTGGTGACGGTGCCGCCTGCTTGTCCAGGAAGAAGGACTGCGTGAAGTGCTGGACGAGCAGGGTGCCCTCGATGTTGAGGAAGCCCGTCACCAGCACCAGCATGCCCCCACCCCGCGTCTCCTGGAGGGAACAGGCCGGATGGGACGAGAGGAAAATGCGGCCACGTCTACCACGACTGCCGACGATGTAACGACCAACACCCGTCTCCCCTCGATTCCTCTCGCTGTGCCCAACCGCCCCTGCCTGCGTGCTGGCCGGACGGGCCAGGCGTGCCGCCCAGGACTTCCCCGCCGGGTATGGTGCGGAAAGCTGGCATCTGCAACCGCTCCAAGGGCGGAGCGCGTGTGGTTCTCGACATGTAGCTCTCGTCTAAGCGCCGCGCGCGCCGAACTTGTTCAAAGATGGTGGGGGCCGTTTTCAAAACGCAGCCAACAGTCCCCGATGCACAGCCTGTGCGTACACCGAGTGGGCCCATGCGTGGGCTGTAACAAACCCTGCTGCGCATGAGCCCGCAAACCCTGCGACATTGATCGATTGGCACATGATAAGCCTGCTGGGCCTGTCGATGGCCAATCGACAGGCTACGCATCGGCCTTGGACAATCCGATCGGTAGCCCATACACAAGCCTGTGCGAGGCCGAATGTCGGCCTATCATCGGCCTGCATCGGCCCATACATCGGGCCCCGTAGGTCTGTAGTCAGCCTATGCAAAATGTGGGCGCGCGAATGCTACCACCTAGTCGACGGAAGGCCGACGCATAGCCTATGCACGGGCGTGTGGTAGGCCTACGCATGGTCGATGCGCATAAGCCATAGCGGGTCTGTGCGCACGTAGCCTTTGTAGAATCCTGCAGTTGGGCTGTGGATAGGCTGTGGAACGGCCTATGGAAGAAATGGAATGGCCCTCCCAAAAGCATATCATGGGCGTACGTCAGGTCCGTGGCGTGCCGACCCCGGCGTTGGTTTCCGACACCGCGGGGATCGTTCAACCTTGAACGATCGGCCATTTCCGAAACGTCCAAATCGTTCCACATCGAACGATTCTGGGTCGCCCGCGGCGTTCAACGTTGAACGCCGCTGGCGGGGTCGCCGCCGGTCGACACGACACAAACCTACCGTATGGCAGGCCATCCACACCCAGGCAGAGGCCTACAGTCGGGCGGTGGAGCACGCTGTGGGCATGCATGCAGAAAAGGGGGGCCGTGGGCCGACCGCATGCCTAGAATAGGCGCGTGGGACCTGCGCATGGGCTCGAATAGGTTCGTGGTGGGCTTCTGAACCGACAGCAGGTTTGAGGCCTCCTCCTCCTTCTCCTCCTCCTCCTCCTCCTCCTCCTCCTTCTCCTCCTCCTCCTCCTCCTCCCCCCCCCTTCTGCTCCCCCTCCTCCTGCTCTCCTCTGCCTCCTTCTCCTCCTCTTGCTTCTCCTCCACATCCTTCTCCCCACTCCTCCTCCCTCATCCACCTCCTCCACCCGTCCTCCGCCTCCCACTCATCCTCCTCCCCCTGCCCCCCCCTCGTTTTCAGCTTCGTCGTTCTCAAGGTCGGCGGCACCGGCCGTAAGGCCTTCGCAATATCGCAATAGGTTCGTGGCGGGCTTCGGAACCGACAGCAGGTTTGAGGTAGGACTGCAGTATCCCGATGGCGGCCGACCGCTGGCGAGTGGGTCAGATCGTTGGGCGAGATAGAAACCATAAGGCTTGTTCGATTCGGCACGCGCGCCCACCTGGCAGGTCGGGCCGGGTCGGGCCGCGAGGACCTTAAACAGCGGGTCGGATCAAACAAACGGACGGCGCAGATAGAGAATTATCACGCACGTGCCCTGACGAGCAACTCAAGTTGAGCGGACAAGCTTTCACGAACAAATCTGGCCGGGATGGCAGGGTATTGGCGTGTACCGCAGTGGAATTGGCACGCGTTTGCCCTGACGGGCAGGTCGGGTCGTTTCGGAAGCAAGGCCAGGGCTGAACCTAAACGGCGTTTTTCGTTTTCGTTTTGTTTTCGTTTTCCCTCGCTTTGTCTTCAATCCGCCTTTCACGCAAAACGACATCGAAACGAAAACAGCCCACGAAATCGCCCAAACATCGTTTAGGTCCACCCCTGAGCAAGACCTGGGTCGTGGGCGGGTCGGGACAAGTTTAGGTGTCATCGGGCTGAGAGTTACTTCAATCATGTGGTGAGCGTATTAGCTTCGATTAGCTTCTACTAGGTCCTACTAAGCCTGCCTATTGGCCCGCCAAATCTTTGACCAGGGAGCGATGCGCCGGTGCCGCCAGCCCTCGGGCCGCCTTGCGGGGCGCTCTGGGGCCACTTGTCACAAGTGGGCGGGACATTAAAACATAGCGCATGCTCGAATGCGTTCGAACTGGCGCGCGCGCGCTTGCCCTGCCAGGCGGTTCGGCCTGGGCGGGCGGACCCGTGCGGGTGCAGCAGGTCTGGAGCACCCTCTGCAGAAGCAGGCGTCCAAAACGCTCGGATGTAGCTATCGATTGCCCCGCGCAGGCTGCCGATGTCTGACGCTCCTCGCGCCATCTATGTTTGATTTGACCCGCAGGCTTGTTACGTTGAAAAAAAGGAACGCTCGTCGTAACAGTGTTAATTGACATGTGTTGCGGTATCATCTCTTTTTCTGATGCGGCGTTGCTGTTTTATCGGCGCGTGGGGCGCTGGTGCAGGCCGGGCTTTCCCACTTGCCCGCAGTATCTTGCAAGGTGCCGCGGCCTCGCTTCACCCAGCTGGATGAGGAGGAGCGGGGGGAGGAGAAGGAAATTCGCCGGCCCAACGGGCCAGAGACGTGCTAAGATCTCCGGTAACATATTAACAATATGACAAGTTCGCGCGCGCGAGGCGGCCCCTTGGGGCCCCGGCGCGACAAAACCCCGCCAAAGTCCCGGCAAGTGCCCGTCAGAGCCCCAAGAGGCCCCCAAAAGGCCCCAAGGGGCCCCCAAGACGCACCCCAAGAAGCCCCAAGAGGCCCCCAAGAGGCCCCAACACGGCCCCCAAGAGGCCTCAAAACGGCCCCCAAAAGGCCAACCACGAGAGCCCAACCAACATCCGTGAGGCCTCTGACCCGCCACCCACCGCCTCCGAACATGATCGACCCACGAACCCGGAAAGGAATATAGAAATGTAAGGCATTGCAACATTTCAAAGACACCTGATTGGGCGACGGGCACATGCAATGCTGAATGTATCGATGATGATGTACTGTGCCGAGGGCTGTGCTGTGCTACGCCGTGCTGAACTGCGATGTGCCATGCCGCGATTGTGCTCTATATAGCGTTGTGGATCGAGTCCTCCCTGGCATCCGAATCCTCACCGAACTGATCTGGAGCGTAAGCTCGAGCTGCCTGAGCAGATGGTAGCTGCCCCAGAACTAATCGACAGAGGGAACATGCCAGGAGGACGCGCCGCGGAACGTCCCAAGGGACGCGCCAGGCGACGTGCCAGGGGACGTGCCATGGGGACGCACCGCGGGACGTGCCAAGGGGACGCGCTACGGAACGTGCCAATGGACGTGCCGAGGGACGTGCCAGGGGACGCGCCGCGCGACGTGCCAGGTGGACTCGCCACGGAACGCGCCAAGGTGCATGCATAGTTGAGTGTATCGATCTTGATGTACCGTGCCGACGGCTGTGCTGTGCTGGGCCGTGCTGAACTGCGATGTGCCATGCCGCAATTGTGCTCCATATAGCCTTGTAAATCGAGTCCTCCCTGGCATCCGAGTCCTCACTGAACTGATCTGGATCGTAAGCTCGAGCTGCCTGAGCAGATGGTAGCTGCCCCAGAACTACACAGAGGGAACATGCCAGGAGGACGCGCCGCGGAACGTCCCAAGGGACGCGCCAGGCGACGTGCCAGGGGACGTGCCATGGGGACGCACCGCGGGACGTGCCAAGGGGACGCGCTACGAAACGTGCCAATGGACGTGCACCGCGCGACGTGCCAGGGGGACTCGCCACGGGACGCTCCGCGGAACGTGCCAGGCAACATGCCAGGCTGCAATGCTAAGGGTATCGATATTGATGTACCGTGCCGAGGGCTGTGATGTGCCTGGGCGACCTGGACACGTGAAAACACGCGTTTCGCTCAAGACGTTGTCAGCACATCCTCATGCTAGACATCCGCCTGGGCAACCTGGACACGTGCAAACAAGCGTCTCGCTCGAGACATCCTCAACAAATACTCATGCTAGACATCCGCCTGGGCGACCTGGACACGTGAAAACAAGCCTCTGGTTCGAGACATCCTCAACAAATCCTCATGCTAGACATCTGTCTGGGCCACCTGGAGGCGTGAAACCAAGCGTCTCGCTCGAGACATCCTCAAGACCTGGGCACGTGAAAACAAGCAATCCACTTGAGAGATCCTCAGAAATCATGTCCCCAGGAAAAAACAATCTATAACACAAAACAAGGGTTTCGCTCGAGACATCCTCAACAAATTCTGAAAAACAAGCGTTTCGCTCGAGACATCCTCAAATTTTAATTCGCCGGCCCTACGCGACCTCGTTATTTATCGCAAAAGAAATTCGCCGGCCCTACAGCCGTCAAAACCGGGGGGAAACCAACTAAAAGAGAACCCTGGGCTCAGGCCCTTTCCGGGAAAAATGGCAGCCGCTCAACCGCACCGCATTGACAACAACACCCCGACAAACGACAGCGGCGAGGCTATATGGGCCAGCGGAATGAGCGAATTGATCAAATGATAAAACAGGCAGATGAGGAAAATAACCATGGAGGGTAAGTGAAGGAGGCGAGAGCGGAGGGGCACGGCAGAGGAAGCAGAGGAGAACGGGGACAGGCGGGAGGGTTTCCTGTCATCGTCCCTGCCTGGCGCACAGGCGCCCATAGGCATGCCCTCAAAGCAAAAACAAACAGTACCGATGAGACGCCCGCGCGCTGCTTCGGCGCAAGATGGAGCATCTTCAGCCCGCAAATTCCGCGACGTTGAGATACAAAGAGGCGTTCACAACAACCCTCCGCGACATTTGCTGCGATGTGCCCTTTCTTGAGCGGATGCGTTGCTTGTTAAATCTGTGTCCCGTTGCCCGCGCGCCCACAGTGCTGCGGTCTCGTGGCTGAGGGCTCCAAGTTTCGATTCTTCTTCACTGGGGGCCATGTCTCGATTCTTTGCCCGCGGCCCAAGTCGCGATTCTTCACTTGGGGCCCCAAGTCTCGATTCCCGACTGGAGACCAAAAGTCTCGGTTTTTCGTTTGGAGCCTAAAGGGGCGAGGTTCCCCACAGGCCCGGAGGCTCGGTGGCTCGGTGCTTCGCACGGGCCCCCCCTGCCTCCTTTCTTCACTTGGGGCCCCAAGTTTCGGATTTTCGCCCGGGGCCCCAAGTCACGACTTTCCCCTTGGAGCCCCTACAATGGAGGCCAATCCACAAGAAAATGTTCACAAGAAACCCAATCCTGAGACCCCAGGGCGTCCATTGATTTTCGGCGCGGGAACGTCACGCTTTCATCGAAACTCAAGAAACCCAGGGCACCCTGGAGGCCAGCAGGGTGTTTCTTGGCATGGGTCTCCACTGTAGTCTCGATGCCTCACTCGGGCTCCCACGTCTGGATTTTTCACCTGGGGCCCCAAGGTTCGATTCTTCTCTCGGGGCCCTCCTTCTCAAACGCGCCAGCCAAAGCGAAATTGAGCAACGTCGTAATTACGTCGTCGAATGGACGCCCTTTCCGTGTGATTCCTTCCCCGCCGGGAGGGTCCCAAAGCGGGTCCTGAGGGGGGGCCGCGTCGGAATGCCATCCCCCCCAGGCAGGTCCCAGGGCCCACCGAGGCCCCAATTCGGGCCAAGAGCGCCCCAAGGCCCGCAAGACGGTCCAAGAGGGCTCCGAGTCGCCGGTCCGAGACGCCAAATATGGCCTCCAGACGGTCCAAGAAGCCTCCAAGACGCCCCAGAAGGCCTCCAAGAGCACCCCCAAGAGGGCCCAGGAGGCAACGCGCATTGATTTTCCCGAGGTTTTCGAAGGACTTGGGCGTTCCCGCCTGTTCGGCTTCCAGACGTTCCAGGACGGCCCAAAACGGCCCATGAGGCATCCAAGACGGCCCCTGAGAGATTCAAGAGGGCCCCAAGACGGCCCAAGATGCCTCCAAAACGGCCCAAGGGGCCCCCTAGGACGGCTCCAAGACTGTGCCCAGATGAGATGCCTGAGCGGACATTTCGAACCTCCGGCCTCGAGAGGCTCCCAGGAAGCTCCAAGAGGCCCCGAGAAACCTCAAAAGGCCCCCGAAGGGCCCCAACTGACCCCGGAGGTCCCGAGAGTGCTCCGAAGAAACCCCAACATGATGGACCCACGAACCCGGAAAGGGATATAGACATGTGGAGCATGGACACGTTTTCATGATACCCAACTGGGCAACACCTCACGAAACATCCCACGAGACACCTCACGAAACAGCCCACGAGACACCTCACGAAACATTCCACGAGACACCTCACGAAACATTTCACGAGACACCCCGCGAAACATTCCACGAGACACCCCACGAAACATTCCACGACGACAGGCAACCACTCAACCAAGGCGGTGTGGTCGTGCTGGGGAGTGGTCGTGCTGGGGTGTGGTCGTGCTGGGGGGTGGTCGTGCTGGGGGGTGGTCGTGCTGGGGGGGTGGTCGTGCTGGGGGGTGGTTGTGCTGGGGCGTGGTCGTGCTGGGGCGTGGTCGTGCTGGGGCGTGGTCGTGCTGGGGTGTGGTCGTGCTGTGGTGAGGTCGTGCTGGGGTGTGGTCGTGCTGGGGTGTGGTCTTGCTAGGGTGGGGTCGTGCTGGGGTGGGGTCGTGCTGGGGTGGGGTCGTGCTGGGGTGTGGTCGTGCTGGGGTGTGGTCGTGCTGGGGTGTGGTCGTGCTGGGGTGTGGTCGTGCTGGGGGTGGTCGTGCTGGGGTGTGGTCGTGCTGGGGCGTGGTCGTGCTGGGGGGTGGTCGTGCTGGGGGGTGGTCGTGCTGGGGGTGGTCGTGCTGGGGCGTGGTCGTGCTGGGGCGTGGTCGTGCTGGGTGGTCGTGCTGGGGTGTGGTCGTGCTGTGGTGAGGTCGTGCTGGGGTGTGGTCGTGCTGGGGTGTGGTCTTGCTGGGGTAGGGTCGTGCTGGGGTCGGGTCGTGCTGGGGTGTGGTCGTGCTGGGGTATGGTCGTGCTGGGGTGGGGTCGTGCTGGGGTGGGGTCGTGCTGGGGTCTGGTCGTGCTGGGGTGTGGTCGTGCTGGGGTATGGTCGTGCTAGGGTGGGGTCGTGCATTTCGCTCGAGACATCCTGCCAAAATTCCAGGAAATCGTACAAAAACAAACGAATTAGTCGAGACATCATCGAAATTCCTTCGCGCGGGGCGCTTTTCCGCGTCGCGGTCGGCTCTGCAAAACAAGCGTTTCGCTCGAGACATCCTCGGCAAACTCTGCGGAGCAAGCGTTTCGCTCGAGACATCCTCAACACACGAAAAAGTGGCCCGCACCCTGTGATTTATCGATCGGGATTTCAAAAACAAGCGTTTCGCTCGAGACATCCTCAAATTTTAATTCGCCGGCCTCCTTCGACCTCGTTATTTATCAGGGAAAAAATTCGCCGGCCTCCCTCAAGTTGGCACCGGGGGACAGGTTTACCCACTAAAAGAGAACCCTGGGCCTGAGCCCTTTCCGGGAAAAAGCATCCCCAAGGACTCTGACCCACGTCAGCGTCGACGTCGTCGCCGCCGCCGCCGCCGTCGTCGTCGTCGCGCTTCAAGGTCGGCGGCACCCACCGCAAGGCCTTCGCAATCTTCGCTTGGGACCTCCAAGTCACGAGCCTTCACGTGAAGCCCCAAGTTAAGATTATACAAGTCTCGATTCTTCACTTCCAGCTCGAAGCCACGATTCTTCACTTGGTGCCCTTGGTCTCGATTCTGCACTCGAAACCCGACGTCACGAATCTTCACCTGGGGCCTCATGTCACGGTTCCACACTTAGGATCACATAGGGCCTCAGGTCATGCGCTTCGCATGAGGCCCCAAATCGCAGTTCTACACACCGAGCCCATCATACAAGCCCGTGCGTTGCATGTGCATAGGACATGCAGAAGCTAAACACATGGGTATACACAGTGTATGTATGTATGTATGTATATATATATACACACAGATGCAAAGGCCCACCGTGGGGCGTCGGCCCCCTGCAGGCCCACCAGAGGCTCCCTGTGCCCACCGGGGGCCCACCACACGAGCAGGCATGACCTATGCTTGGGCCTGTGGTGGGTCTGCGCCCAAGCTGTGTACGGGCCTCTCGCGGGGCGCCACTCCCCTAAAGGCCCACCGGGAACCCACCACACACAGGGTTACCTGCGCAGGCCGAAAGATTTTCCTCTTGAGGCCCAGATGACACATGCAAAGCGTCGTTGACTTTAGCGGATGCGGACGCAGCGATCATATCGCCCTCGCGTCGAGGTGGGGTGCGGCATATGTTATGGGAAGCTGCGGGAGTTGGCCAGGCCCGCTGTGGCGCTCGACCACCCACATGTTATGGAGGCTGCGGGAGTTGGCCGGGGCAGCTGTGGCGCTCGAGCAACGATATGTTGTGGGAGGTGCTCGGAGAGGTGGCCAGACCCGCTGTGGCGCTCGAGCTCCCGACTTGGGCGCCGCGGTCGTTTCCCCTCCTCCTCCCTCCTCCGTCATCCGCCTCTTAGCCGCCGTCCCGGCCCGAGAGGTTTGTGGGAGCCGTGCCAGGCACGGCGAAATTTCTCGCACGGGACAGCTGCGACACGCGCCCGCCCCCCAGCGCGCCCCCGCAGCCACGGCGCGCGGCAGGAGGGCCAGCCGTGAAGCACACGGTGAACCAGCTTGGCATCGTCGAGCCAGGGCAGAGAGAAGCAGAGCCAGGACTCTGCTGAAGATCGCAGCCGCATCTGACCTCTTGCCCCAGCATCACAGCAGCATGACGTGGAGAACTCAGCGCAGTCAGTCATCAGTGCGCTCGAGACAGCCATCACGACGAAGACAGCAGTGGCAAGGGCACCAGCACGGATAGCATCGATACCTGTGGGAGTGCCCTGCCTGCAATCATCACAACAAGTGGGAGATTGCCAAGTGTGAGAAGTGCCACCCGAACCAGCCAGCGGCCAAGCCAGCCGCAGATCTACCTACGGCCTCCCCGCCATGGAGACGCTCCAGCTCGCGCCGCCCAGCGCATAGCAGCAACGCGGAGGAGGAGGAGACCATGAACATCATGCCATGCTCGCCAGAGGAGGCCCGCGTCCACAGGCGTTGGCAAGAGCCTCCGGAGAGCCCGCAGGAGATAGGTGAGTACAGGAAGGCCCTAGGCTCCACGTTGGAGGGCCTAGAGAGGCAGATCAAATGCTCCCAAGAGCTCAAGATGGACGCATCACAAGTGCAGGCTCTACGACACGAGTATGCCGTGGTATTGTACCAGCTCATGTACTCGCGCACAGCCTCCGCACGCACTGCCAAGCAGCTCAGCTTTGTCAACAGAGCAAAGCGCAGGCTGACGGAGGCCACACAGATGCAAGTAGAGGCACAGATCTATCTTGACTCATATGTTGCGCAGGTACACCCACTACATGACGAAGTGGCACACGCTGAAGACCTTCTCGAACATTTCAAGGACCTAGAGGATAAGGAGAAGCAGGACAATGAACGCAAGCAGGCCGAAGCGCGCAACCAGATGTCGCACGCGCGTAAGCCTCGAGCAGCAGACTACATGGACGAAGATGAGGAGGAAGATTCCGACAGAGCCCCTCTTGCACCAGCAGGAGGAACATCAAGGTCCCGTACTAAGCGGCCAGTTACCGCGCGCTCTCCGAGCACACCAGCTGGCACACGCTCTCCAAGTACGCCTACCACTCGATCTCCGCCTGGAGCTACACCGTGCTCGGGCTCAGCGGATTCAAAGGCAGAATTTTCCACCCCTGGTCTGTTGGCGAGCATGCAGCACTCGCAGCAGGACCTATGGCGCAGCTACTGGAGTTCAAGACAGCCATGAATACCATACAGAAGCAGCTCACAGACGTCAGCATCAACAGCAAGACAGATCGAGAAGAACTTCAGCGACAAATACAGGCACTGCAAGTACAGACATCAACGGCATCACCTACCCCCACGCCAAGAAAGGACAAGGACAAGCCGATTCCACCAGACGCACGCACAGGACGTCGACGGCTAGAGGGTGCCTTCGCCCAGGGAGCCGAGGCAGGAAGACACAGGTCTACCTCACCCAGGCGCCCCACGGGTCAGGCACCACCCAAGCAAGTCAAGATCAATGAGGAGGTGGCCAGGGACTCCATGCATACGCGACCTGACGAACCACATGAGATGGCAGCAGGAGAAGATGAGACGGACATGGCAGCGTTGAGCGGAGCTGGCAGCCCATCAGGCCAGCGGACAGTTCTTCGCGTAGCATCCAGTCCGCCCACACAGCATTAACACCAGCTGAGCGTGTTAGGCGCTCAGCAGAATATTCTGGCAGGCTCGCTCAAGTCCCCCCATCAGCCTCCTCGCAGCAGCCAGCCGGTGTACAGAATCCGACTCCAGACAACACAACGGAGGACCGCTCACCAGGTGAGCATGGTTTGCCCGACTCAAACATTAAGTTAACTACGCAGGCTCCCAAGGGGACCACCAGAGGAGTCCGGAGGTCGCCCATCCCCGATCTCCGACCCACCCAGGAGCTCATGGAGCGCCGGTGGCCAGTTCAGCCGTCTAGGGACCTCTTATCGTGGGCCCCCTACTGTCACTCATCTTCTGCTCAGGCACTTCCAGGTTTCATCCAGTTCGATCCCAACTTGAGGTTTACTCGGCTGGAAATCTACACGGACGCGACCGCAGGAGGATACAAACACAACGGACAGGTGTGCGGGCCAGCTTGGGCACTGTGCATCATGGCAGTATCTGTATTAGGTGTCGCATTGCTCGGCTACCTTGCAGGCCCGCTTCTGGATTGGGAAGCAAACGATTCACTCACTCCGCTGAGGGCCGAGTTGGAAGACGCCATTTGGGCTATGGCATGGGTCAAGCTTCTGCTCGACAGTCTGACACAGTGTGTTCGTGCATGTGCAAGTACGCTTACCTTCCAGCATGTTCATGGTCATGTTGCGAATCCTTGGAACGAATGTGTTGACACACTCGCTAGGTTGTACGCCATGTCAGTGCTTCCCACCTTTTTCGAGCCGCAGTGGCGCACGCTGGTGGAGCACGAGCCCCATAGGATGGCAATGCCGTGGCTGTGGCTGTGTTATGTCTCACCAGAAGTACGTTGCGCGCTACCCCCTACGGCCGACCATACCATACCCATCGCCAAGGAGCCCCACACGGACCTCCAACGGATCATTCCCAGGCCCAACAAGGTTCCCAATAAGAAACCCAAGACTCACACTATTCTCTGCTGGGTGGCCATGGCCAACGTGCTTACCATGGATCCTCGAGCCCTGCAGGGGCCCCAGCAACCCCCAAGGCTAGCAGGCCTCAACATCACGGGTCGTATGATGCAGCTGTCTGCTCTCTTCGCGGCCAAACCGTACTTGCTTGTGGGCACGGTCGAGACACGCATGCCTAAAACAGGGGTCACAAATGTGGGAAGCTATCTGGTACTACACGCCGCGGCTCTACAGACGGGTGGAGAAGGATGCTCACTCTGGGTCAATACGGAATGGGAATCTGCTCCAGGTTGCCGTATTGCAGAATCAAACTGTCACGTGACGCACGCTTCGCCAAGAGTCATGATAGTTGCCATTCGCTCACCATCTCTCAGCCTATGTGTTTGCATTGGCCACGCTCCGCACTCACGGCGTCCACCTACTGAGATACAGCAATGGTGGAAGGATCTGGAGGATCTCTGCCGAGAACAGAGGAGAGGAGCGGAGCACCTCATCACGCTGGTGGACGCCAATGCCGCATTAGGATCAGTACCAGATCACATCACAGGAGGTGCGCACCCTGAGGAGCAGAATTTCCCAGGATAATGTTTCAAGCGCTTCCTACACAGCACTCAACAGCGGGCGCCATCTACTTTCTTTGAGGACCCCTCAGGGCACGCGGGCACGTGGCAGGCTCCTGGGGCTCGTACGCAGGCCAAAAGAAGGGACTATGTTACACTCTCTACGACGTTTCAGGTCCAACAACAAGGGATTGACAGGGACATTGATCTTACGGTTACACAACCTGACCACATGGCGGTTACGGCACAGGTCGAAATCCCTCCCTCCGGGTACACTCCAGAGCCCCCTAGGCCATACAAGGTCCAACACGACCCAGCGCTGTACGATGACCCTATGGCCTCCCAGCTATTCAACCACCTGCTCTCGCAGTTCCGCCAGCCCGACTTCGGAGTTCATGCTACCGACCATACTAAGGATTGTGACGACCACATCAGGATGGCGGTCGAAACAGCATTCCCCACACGCACCACGCCAACGGGCAAAAGACCACGGCAGAATTGGATAAGTTACGACACGCTGAAGCTGCAAGAGGAGAGGCCCCTCTTCCTCAGGCTCCAACGGAAGCTACTGCGCAGAGTCAACCAGGCCAGCTTGCATGCCCTCTTTTTTGCTTGGCAGGTTCTCTGTGCAGCGGCGCCGAGGTGGCGACACACCAGATACGACTACGCCCTCAGGGCCAACGCGTGCTTCCCTGTGCTGCCCTTTTTGCATCGAGAAGTTGCAGAGCTCGTGCCTGCAGCAAAGCTCATCCCACAGGAGACGGCTTCCCTGCTTCGAAGGCAAGCTGAGATCCGACAGCGAAAGGGCACCAAACACAGGATGGGACCCCTCAGGCTCTTGGCTCACTTCGGGTATTCCGACATAGGCGCCATCATCACGCTTCCCCCTCTGGACCTCCTGAAGATACCTTCCAACGGATCCCTGTGGCCTCCTCTGTTGGGCATATGGGACTTTCTCCAGGGAACCAAGGCGTGTCTGCTGGCACATCGGGACCTGCTACTACATCATACTATGGCTCTCATCAGACAGGCCACTACGGACGACTCCCTAGCCCGTTGTGCTAACTTGGCTAATGAGGTCTCCAGCGCTTGGTCCAAACACCAGTATGACGTTGCCTTCGCCAAGCTACGAGGAATGGGCATAGGTTCGCAAAAACGACTGTCAGCACGTGCCCTGCCAACGGTTGAACTGGAGGACGGCTCTATGGCTACCACACAGGTGGAAGCGGCGGACAGGTGGCTCAGACACTTCGCAGACGAAGAAGTGGGCATCGTTGTACCAATCAGTGAAGCCAGAGCTTTGCAGGCCCAGCTTCCCTCACTGCCGGAGTGCCTCACACATGACATGCCACACGAAGAAGTTGTTTTGCCCACGCTTGTCTCCTTCCAGCAAGCATGTAAGGCACCGAGAGCCTCAACAGCCAGTATCGACGGCATCCCAGGCGCGCTGCTCAGAAAGTTTGGCCCTACCATTGCCTGTCACTACTATCCCATTGTTGCCAAGTCTGCCTTGCGTCTGGAGGAACCCCTACAATGGAAGGGGGGGAACTACTGGAACATATGGAAACGCAAGGCAAACGCTGCAAAATGCAAGAACCACAGGGCGGTGATGATATCATCCCAGGTGGGCAAAAGTTACCGAAAACTACTACGTGACCCCATCGTGCGGGCCCTCCCCAATGCAGCAGGAGACGCACAATATGGAGGGATAGAGGGGAGAGGAGTCGACCTTGCAGCGCTCGCACTCAGAATGTTTCAAGAGCTAGCGCTAGCCACTTGCACATCAGCTCTCTTCACAATGATCGATGCGGTCTCTGTTTTCTATCGGGCCATTCGAGAGCTGGTACTGCAGCTAGGCACCAGTGACCCAGAGCTTCGACACATCCTTCGCACTGCAGGACTACCAGAGGCAGCAGTCGAAGAGCTCAAGACCCACATAGCTACGCATCCCACGTTGCTTGAGGCCGCGGGGGTATCACAACATGTGAGGGCACTTGTGGCGGACAGCTACCACTCCACTTGGTTTTGGTACCCAGGGGCCACGTCGGTTGCTTTCACCCTATCGGGTGCGGCTCCTGGCCAACAGCTGGGGGACGTTATTTTCAACTACGTCATGTCCGCGTGTGTCAAGGAGGCCCAAGCTGGCCTAAGGAAGCTCGAGCTCGAGATCAAGATCCCCATCTGCCTCCACAGCAGCCTCACACAGATGCTCCATGAGACCCCCGACAGAATGCAAGGAGACCTACACATCTTTCTTTGACGACGGGGCTTTTGTGCTGTTAGGACCAGCCATGCATCTTGTACAAGTGGCTCCGAAAGTGGTGGAAATAGTTGCAGCCAGCTTCGTGCGCAGAGGGCTGAAGCTCAACTCTGCAGAAGGACAAACAGAAGTGCTATTTCAGCTGAGGGGCAGAGGATCCCGAGCAGCAAAGCACTTACTATGGCATGACTTGCAGGGTCAATTTAACATCGGCTCACTGCTGCTGGGACAGTTTACTCTGATGGCTGTACGCCGATACCCACACCTAGGCACCGACCTAGACGAGCTCGCCTCCATAGGTCCTGAGCTTGCACACAGGGAAGCTTCGATACAGCAATCCTCCCAACAGCTGAGACAACGCATTTTCGCTACCAACCATACCCTACCAAGGGTGGCGGCGCTGCATCTCAGGGGCACACTACTATTTGCAGGGTTGCCGTTCAATGCCAGGACATGGCCACAACTATCAGCAGCACAGCGCGCACACCTTCAGCATGTGATGATCAACAAGTACAGACAAGTTCTGCGCCCTCGGCACAGCGCGGAACATACAGAGTGTGCCATGTACGTGCTTGCGCGCGCACAGCGAGCCACGCTCACCACTGTACTAAGGATTCACAGGCTCCGACTACTTGGGCGCCTTGTTCACTACGGTGCACACACACTACGCGGGCTTGTGACACACGTATACCGTACGATGCACGAGCGCAATGGAGCATCATGGTTGCATCGAGTGATTGAGGACATGGACTGGCTACGCACTGTACATGTTAAGATGCGAGACATGCCCAGTCCGAAGGACGACTTTGCCAGGTGGGAACGGCACATTTTGTGCTC